ATTTGAATTCCTTTCCTTTAAATCGATTTAAGCATCTCTTTTCTTTCCTCCGAGCACCTTCAATTATTATGACAATCCTTCTTGTACCTCACCCTTTTCCAAATCATTTTTATCTTCGATTTTTTCGTTTATAAATTTATTATTTTTTAATGAAACGTATCAATTTATTGGAATTTAAGCGTGAAGAAATCATGTACTTTATTTTAGTCAGCTTAGAGTGGTTTTGTTGCTCGAATTTTTGGCGCTTCAGAAAAGTATGAGGGAACATCTCAGAGTGAGTTTATTTAATTTTTATTTTTCCAACTTTCAATTCAGTTTCTATTCCCTTAATTCCGGCATTCAACTCCTATCACTTTAATCACACTCTCAATCAACCATTTAGGTTGTTTGTATGCAATAAAACTTCTGCAATTAGAAGTCCCTTAAACTTCACTGCATGTTAGCTTAGCGGTTTTATCCGGCAATAAAATTCAACTATCATGTTAACCTTTTTTTGCAGCAGAGAATTGGACCTTCGCAGAAAAATGAAGTAGATGAATTGGCCAATTTAATATCAGATCTGATAGCAGAACGAATTCGTTATCAGGAAGAGCAACGGCAGCGCGAAAGAGAATTATCGGCTGTAGCTGTCGTCAGTTTCAGGTGAATGAAAATTTCCATCTATTTTGTAGTATCATTTGACAGTTAAATTTCTTTCGACCATTTACTAAACTTAGTACCATCATCAGGATCCCCGTTACAATGATTGATGTGCTGCTTGGGGTGGGAGATCAACGGGCGCTTATGATAGCGTTTGAGACTGAAACGGAATTAGAACTTCCACGCCGATACCAGAATCCCAGATTTGTAATCAGTGGATATAACCATAACATCCGTAAAGCTCTACGGATGATTGAGGCAATTATCAATGAAGAATGTCGCGAATCGAATTCTTCAACGTACACCTTTATTCCTGATCCGAATGCGGTAAAAATTATTTAATTTCATTCAGATAATAATGAATTTGAAGTCATTTTCTGTAACGAATATTTTTTGTCGTGTTCAGTTTAAATTCATGGAAATTATTCAGTTGAATGATGAACTTTGTAGGATCAAAGTGGTACCGATTATATCCTCTGTAATGGACCAATCAATGAAGCAAGATATAGGCCTGGAAGGGAAGGTATGCATCGAGGTTAGGATCGAATATTCAGGATGTTTAATTGATTTGCATGTTTAATATTTGGTGTATGTTGTATAAAAATAAGCAATCGTATTGTGTTTTTGGGAAATTTTTGATCATTCCACCTTATTGTTTTGTTCTTTGTACAATGTGTCTGACTATTACCAAAATTATTTTATTTGAACGCGTAAGTAAGCAATAAATTTTTTTTTTCAATGTTGCATCAAAATTTGTGATTCCTTCTACAATATCATACCATTGAACCCATCATTGTGTTGTAATACAGCCATTGCAAGCAGGTGATCATCAGCAACTTATACTGAACCATTCATTTTGACACCGAAATATGATAGCTCAGTAAACACAAAAAGGAATCACAAAGTGTTAACTGAATAAGAACAAGAATCAGAAAAAAGAAAAGGGAACTGAATGTACATGTGATATCCTAAATGAAACTAATAACAATCGCATTGTGTTGCATTGACCCTTAGAACTATAAAGTTGTATTTGTTTTTTCTGTCACTTTCAATGAACTATTTCCTCCTCTAAATGTGCAATATATATTTTGGTTGACCACTTCAGTGGCATGTTTTAATTGATCCCATTAACAATATCT